AAAAAGGATTCTTCTATCGTTACTATAAAAGAACCCTCTTCAAAAAGGTTCTGTATAGAACCATCTACAGCACAGTCTCCATCAATCTGAAGAACCCTTTCCTGATGCAAAGAACCCTTTAATCGCGAAATGGTTCTTTGAGCGTTCATGATTCTGTATGGTATAATTTTCTTTACTAAAGAACCCTTGAAGAACCATCATTTTTAACAGTGTTGATGGCTCTTCACAGAACCTTTTGAAAAGGGTTCTATAAAGCACCAAAAAGGATTCTTCTATTGTTTCTACCTCAAGCTTGTAACAATGGAAGAACCCTCTTCAAAAAGGTTCTGTAAAGAACCATCTACAGCACATTCTCCATCAATCTGAAGAACCCTTTCCTGATGCAAAGAACCCTTTAATCGTGCAGATGGTTCTTGGAGTGTTCCTGGTTCTATATAGGACCATTTTATGTACTAAAGTACCCTTAAAGAACCATATTTTAAGAGTGTACAACTTTTTAAAAAATGGTTCTATACAGCACCAAAAACTGTTGCAAGCTTGACGTCATAAACAACCCTTTTCGGTGCTACATAGAAACAAATACAACATATTCCCCATGATCTGAAGAACTATGCAAAGAACCATAGAGTGTTCATGGCTCTATATAGCTCTGTCTTTACTAAAGAACCAGCACATGGTTCTAGCTAGCCTGTTAGCTAACTCGCTAACTAGTCTTTTGGCCATACAGTGTGAGAAACCACAGAATCGAGTCCGTTAGAGATACGGAACACGTTCCCACGGTCTGAGGCCAGCATTTGAGGACTTAGCCATGCAGTTAGCATCATGCTAATTGGTGGGGTATAAGGTTCCATCACTTGTTAGCTACATTAGCCTCGTAGCTGCTAACGAAGCAAACCTCGGGAACCAAACACTCCTTGGCTGATTGACCACGTATGGCCTAAAGTGGGAAACTGTGCACATTTATTTGTTTTCGCCAAACTATCACTTGAACCCGCCCTGTGTTCCTCTTACCTGTGAGAAGTGTGAGCTCCTGCACCTGTTCTCCGCCTCACCTGTTCACCCGGACCAGACTCTCCTCGTCCACCTGCAACCCAATCAGCAGGTGTAGCGTTACACACCACAAAAGCAGGCGTGAAGGGAAAGAGCGGCCGAGGATAAACGAGCCTGACTCAGTAAATAATACCAGCCTCGTTCACACAGCGGCCTCGGTTTCCTCCAGGAGACAGACTCAAACCCACCCTCAGAACCCGAGACGTGTGTGTGTGCTGTGATGTACGCTGACCAGGCATAACATTATGACCACCTCCTTGTTTCTACACTCATTGTCCATTTTATCAGCTCCACTTACTGTATAGGTGCACTTTGTAGTTCTACAGTTACAGACTGTAGTCCATCTGTTTCTCTGATACTTTGTTAGCCCCCCTTTTACCCTGTTCTTCAGTGGTCAGGACCCCCATGGACCCTCACAGAGCAGGTACTATTTGGGTGGTGGATCATTCTCAGCACTGCAGTAACACTGATGTGGTGGTGTGTGTTGTGCTGGTCTGAGTGGATCAGACACAGCAGTGCTGCTGGAGTCTTTAAACGCTGTGTCCACTCACTGTCCACTCTATTAGACACTCCCACCTTGTCAGTCCACCTTGTAGATGTAAAGTCAGAGACGATAGCTCATCTGCTGCTGCACAGTTTGTGTTGGTCATCCTCTAGTCCTTCATCAGTGGTCACAGGACGCTGTTGGCTGGATATTTTTGGTTGGTGGACTATTCTCAGTCCAGCAGCGACACTGAGGTGTTTAAAAACTCCAGCAGCACTGCTGTGTCTGATCCACTCAGACCAGCGCAACACACACTAACACACCACCACCACGTCAGTGTTACTGCAGTGCTGAGAATGATCCACCACCCAAATAGTACCTGCTCTGTGAGGGTCCATGGGGGTCCTGACCACTGAAGAACAGGGTAAAAGGGGGCTAACAAAGTATCAGAGAAACAGATGGACTACAGTCTGTAACTGTAGAACTACAAAGTGCACCTATATAGTAAGTGGAGCTGATAAAATGGACAATGAGTGTAGAAACAAGGAGGTGGTCATAATGTTATGCCTGATCGGTGTATACATGTATATACAGTATCATTACAATAAAATAAATATGGAATATTATGTATGGAAAATGAGGCTCCTAACAACCACCTGGAAGAGCTGGTAGACCCCCAAAACTGCCCCATCAGATAAACAGCACTTAAAGCTCTCATCTCTGAGAGAGAGGAGAAAATCAAGCTGCTTCAGATCTGAAAACATCCACAGGTGTTTCTGTCCATCCTTCCACTGTGAGAAGACGACTCAGCGCTGTGGGTCTGAAAGGATGTGTAGCTGATCAAGAAGAACCTCACTGAGAAAAGGAGATGGACACATCAAACAAAGCAGCTGAACGATGGACTGACCACCCCAGAGTCCAGACCTCAACACCACTGAATGTGTTTGATTACTTCAGAAAATGATCAACCAGCTTCTAAGAACTTTGGAGGTGTGTCTGCAGATTCTTTGAGGAGCTGAAAGTGAGTCTCCTGAAAAGAATGGAAGCTGGAATAAAGGTGAAGAGTGACTCACTGACCACTGAATAACTGATAGTAGATGTAGCTGCTGAGGCTTCTGGGTGATTTTCAGTTAAATATATTTTTTCTGCTAATCATTATTAGTTTAATCCTCTTCTTTTCCAAACTAGTACTAAATTGAAACTCTTTCGGTCCAGTAGGTGGTTTAAATGTTTGATAGGTTTGATTGCTGACATCACAAAAAGGGGATACAAAGGCGACCTTTGGCTTTTTCCCAACGCAGCACTGTCAGTGATGTTTACACCTGATAATGTTTTCCTTTAAATAAATACCAGGTTTTGTTTGTTTGTTTATTTCATTGACAAACAGTGCTTCATTAATCTTCAGTGTGCTGATTGATCCACTCTGCGTCTCTGTCAGAGTCAGGTAAGGTCAGTCACACACACACACACACACACACACAGGCACGCTGAGGTCAGTGAGGTGCAGCTTTACGGCCTCAGGGCTGTAGACAGCACAACCACAACAACCCCAAGCAGATCCACTCAGAGGTAGCCTGCACCGCTAACTGGTAATAATGTAAAAAAGGGGATTTTTCCCACCTAAACTTCTTTATTGTGTTTTAATATGTTGTCTTTTGGTCTTTTGGGTCATTCTATAGAAACGTCCATTTTTGTGTCCCTAGTGTTTACAGCTATATTACTCTTAAAAACATGTTGGGGTTACAATTTGTTTACATTTTAAAATAAACCAATAAGTTATTTTAACAGTTACACCTTCTTGAGCCTCAATTCAGCAATATTGGTTTTTAAATCAATCATATAGAATTCCAAGCACCACAGAAGAGCTCGTCCCCACAGTCATGTGTGAAGACTGAGGCAATATTTTGAGGTAAAAAAACATGTTTTTCTGCAATTTTAACTACAATAATCTATACATGACTATGGGATATATACATTAAATGACACAAAGAAAACAAATGCTAAATAAATATTATAAAATATATAATGAAAGCTCCCTAGGAGTCGTGTCACTGGTGTTACTGCGTAACATACAATCTCTAATTTTGAAATAAGTCACACTGATGACATCACTCGACTTCCTTTTACCTGTTTTCTGAGGATCTATGAAGAAAAGCACATGATGAGTCCACTGTGTCTTTCAGTTATCAGAGATTTTCTCATTTAGCTCATGATTTCATATGAAGCTTTTAGTTGATGTCACTGGTGTGACCGACTTTATTCTGAGGAAACTGTGAAAAAATGGAATATAAATGGATTAAATTCCATATTTTAGTGGATATTCCATGATTGACAACGTGTGTTTTGATGCTCTGTAGCAGTTATTTTGTAAAATGCATATTTCATTAAAAATGTCTCTGGTGTTCCCTTTATGATGTGTGACACCAATGAGGATCAGTAACACCAGTGACTCCTATGGAGAGACAGAAAAGTGGACGTTTCTGTAGAATGACCCTTTTGTGTTGCAATATATACAGTTGAAAGTCATCCTGGTGTCAAAATAAACTTGTTTACCTTGTTAGTTAACATTCCTCATCATCACATCATGTCATATCGTATAAAAGACGACATTCTCGCTGGTCTGTAATCTTTCATCAGAATGGAAGGACTTTTATACAGCCTCTAAAATGCGTTCGGATTTTTTATTATGTCAATGTGCAACAACTGGGGAAAAATAATGTTAACCAATAATAAAATGTTTCACTGCCCCTCAAAATAATAATAATAATAATAATAATAATAATAATAATAAATCAAGAGCAAACAACAAGAAACAACAACTTCAAACAATAACAACAACAATAATAAAAATAACACAATATAAACAGCAAACAACGGCAAACTAATAAGGATAATGACAAGAAACAAGAACCAATGACAAAACGACAGCAACAAAAATTATAATAGTAATAAACTATCAACAGTAAACAAAAAGAAACAACACAACAACAGATACAAACAAAAACAACAACTATAATTATAATAATAATAAGCAACAAGAACCAATGACAAAACAACAGCAACAAAAAAATGATAATAATAATAAATTATCAACAGCAAACAACAAGAAACAACAACTACAAACAACAACAACAACAACAATACTACTACTACTACTACTACTACTAATAATAATAATTATTATTATTATTATTGTTGTTGTTGTTGTTGTTGTTGTTGCAATGATTAGTATTATTATTATTATTGTTATATTGATCTGAGGCCTAACAGACCTGCATGACTATTAAAGTTATTAAAATACTATTAAAAGTATTTTTATTATTCTCCAGCCAAATACGGCCAGGAACCGCAGTAAAGTAGAGTAAAGTAAAGTAAAGTAAAGTAAAGGAAAGGAAGCTGTGAGGGCGCTGGCCAATCAGATCTGTCCTCCAGCGCCATCCTCTGACTCGTTTTCGAGAAACGCGAATGTACATAATGGCCCCGCCGGCGCTCCGTAGTTGTTTACACGGTGGAAGCGCGGCGCCGCGCGGTGAGAAAGACAAACCGGAGACGCGGTATTTAGCGAGTATTAGCGCGATTATCATTAATATCACTGATAATATCACTGCTAACGGCGGGCAGAGAGGAAACTAACTACAGCAGTGACCGAACTACTCGGAGTGTCCGAGTCGCGCGGACAAACAGGACAAACAGTCTGAGGAGTCAGAGTTACAGTCAGAGTTACACTCAGAGTTACTGTCAGAGCAGAGCAGAGAAGTTTACTGACCGCTAGGAGCTTACTGACCTCTGAGATTCCAACCGCTGCTGAACCTTCAGCCAAGATATTTAACCGTCCAGTCAAGATACAGCTACAAGCAAACTCTTTAGCTGAGATATTTGAGCTACTGACCGCCCAGTTGAGAGTTTTGAACAGCAACTGACTCTTTAGCTTGAGATATTTGAGCTACTGACTGTCCAGTCAAAAGTTTTCAACAGCAGCTGACCCTTTAGCTGAGATATTTAAGCTACTGACCGTCCGGTCAGGGTCTACTAGCAGCTACAGACCCTTTAGCTGAGATATTTAAGCTACTGACCATCCAGTTGAGAGTTTTGAACAGCAACTGACTCTTTAGCTTGAGATATTTGAGCTACTGACTGTCCAGTCAAAAGTTTTCAACAGCAACTGACCCTTTAGCTGAGATATTTAAGCTACTGACCGTCCGGTCAGGGTCTACTAGCAGCTACAGACCCTTTAGCTGAGATATTTAAGCTACTGACCGCCCAGTTGAGAGTTTTGAACAGCAACTGACTCTTCAGCTTGAGATATGTAAGATATTGACCGTCCGGTAGAGATTTTTCAACAACTACTGACTCTTTAGCTGAGATATTTAAGCTACTGACCGTCCAGTTGAGAGTTTTCAACAACAACCGACTCTTTAGCTTGAGATATTTAAGATACTGACTGTGCAGTCAAAAGTTTGCCACAGCTAATGACCCTTTAGCTGAAATATTTAAGCTAGTGACCATCCGGTCAGGGTATACTAGCAGCTACAGACCCTTTAGCTGAGATATTTAAGCTACTGACCGCCCAGTCGAGAGTTTTCAACTGCAGCTGACTCTTTAGCTAAAATATTTAAGCTACTGACCGTCCAGTCAGGGTATACTAGCAGCTACAGACCCTTTAGCTGAGATATTTAAGCTACTGACCGCCCAGTCGAGAGTTTTCAACTGCAACTGACTCTTTAGCTTCATATATTTCAGCTACTGACCGTCCAGTAGACATTTTTCAACAGCAACTGACCTTCAGCTGCAAAATGTAAGCTACTGACCATCCAGTCAAGGTTTACTAGCAGCTACTGACCCTGTAGCTGAGATATTTCAGCTACTGACCATCCAGTTGAGATTTTTCAACAACAACTGACTCTTTAGCTTGATATATTTCAGCCACTGACCATCCAGTCAAGGTATAGTAGCAGCTACTGACCCTTTAGCTGAGATATTTAAGCTACTGACTGTCCAGTCAAGATATACAAGCAGCGACTGACCTTCCAGCCACGATACTAACATAAATACTGACCGTTCTGCTGTTTACAGACTGAGTTGCCCTCAGTTTGCTCTTGGCTGGGCTCTGACTTTATAGACTCGTCTGTTACTGATAACCCGTCAGCAAATAGACTTTAAATACTAGCCTTTATAAAACGTTGAACAGGTGTGGACCGTCTGCCATCGTCCAGTTTGACATGTTCAGACGGCCCGTATCGTTCAGTGTTCTAATAAATAAGACTCTGTCGAGAGTGTTTCATGCCAGTGCCCATTCAGAAGCGGTCAGTCGGAAGCTCCTGTCACTCAGAGTGATCCCTCTGCCTCTAGCTGTCCGTCAGCTCTCCTGCATAACTCGGAGAAAGGTGGACTACCTGATGTCCTTGCAGCCAGTTCCAGAGAAGACCACATCCGGTGGTCAGCAGGAGCCACAGGCAGAAAAATCCAGCACAGCGGTCAGAAAAGAACCCAAAGCTGGTGAGGTGATATACAGGTGGCTTATTCTTACTGTCACTTCCACAAACACAGAATAATTACGTTCTGACTGCACATTTAAACATATTAAAGTACTAAAACTTTCAGAACCTACGCATTATTTTAATAGTAGATACTGAATAAATTATGGTAGTCACTGAATAATTTGTAGTAGATACTGAACAAATTATAGTTCTTAATCATATTTAGTCAATACTGAATCATTTATGATAGTTACTGAATAAATTATAGTAGTTACTGAATAAATTATGGTAGTTACTGAATAAATTATAGTAGTTACTGAATAATTTATGGTAGTTACTGAATAAATTATAGTAGTTACTGAATAATTTATGGTAGTTACTGAATAAATTATAGTAGTTACTGAATAAATTATAGTAGTTACTGAATAATTTATGGTAGTTACTGAATAAATTATAGTAGTTACTGAATAATTTATGGTAGTTACTGAATAAATTATAGTAGTTACTGAATAAATTATAGTAGTTACTGAATAAATTATAGTAGTTACTGAATAATTTGTAGTAGTTACTGAATAATTCGTAGTAGTTACTGAATAAATTATGGTAGTTACTGAATAAATTATAGTAGATACTGAATAATTTGTAGTAGTTACTGAATAAATTATAGTAGATACTGAATAATTTGTAGTAGTTACTGAATAATTCGTAGTAGTTACTGAATAAATTATAGTAGATACTGAATAATTTGTAGTAGTTACTGAATAATTCGTAGTAGTTACTGAATAAATTATAGTAGATACTGAATAATTTGTAGTAGTTACTGAATAAATTATAGTAGTTACTGAATAAATTATAGTAGTTACTGAATAAATTATGGTAGTTACTGAATAAATTATAGTAGTTACTGAATAATTTATGGTAGTTACTGAATAAATTATAGTAGTTACTGAATAATTTGTAGTAGTTACTGAATAATTCGTAGTAGTTACTGAATAAATTATAGTAGATACTGAATAATTTGTAGTAGTTACTGAATAATTCGTAGTAGTTACTGAATAAATTATAGTAGATACTGAATAATTCGTAGTAGTTACTGAATAATTTGTTGTAGATACTGAATAAATTATAGTAGATACTGAATAATTTGTAGTAGTTACTGAATAATTTATGGTAGTTACTGAATAAATGATAGTATTTACTGAATCATTTATTATAATTACTGAATAATTTGTAGTAGTTGAATAATAATAATATGCCTACAGTTAAGACGGCCGTGCTGAGATCAAACGGACGCCTGCAGCTTTCATATCAAACAATCCTGCACGACTGACACAGTAAAAAATACTGTGTTAACACACTTACACATTCTGTGGTTCACAGGAAGTAAAAAGGAGAAGAAGGTGAAAAAGGTGAAGAGTCCTAAAAAAGCGCGTGGGCGAAAGCAGAGAGAGAGAGAGTCGGAGTCCACGGAGAGCCTGCTGGCTGAGCTGCCCTTCGCCAGCACAGAGATATGGAAGGAGCTCGGCTGTAAGTAAACTCAGCTCTGCAGTGGGTGAAAGTGAATGCGGTTGAATTGCACCCATCAAATAGATGCGTCACAGTGCAGTGATGCCTTTCCACACTCCTGTGGCCACATAGAACAGTTAAGTGTTTAACTCAAGGTAAATCATTAAACGATCACTTTAACCTTTTCATCTCCTTGAGACCACCAGTGGTTCCAAAACGCACTTCGTCATATTCTTCATAACTTTCATATTTCATAAGCTACATTCTAAAGGTGGGGGTCATATGAGAGCTGTAACTGTCTTCTTTCCAGTCAAAATAGATGGGTGATGTCATTTTAAACCCTTACAATAAAAGAAGCTGAACTTTTCTACTGAAAGTCGACCCATTTTTCCACAAATCTGGGCTATAAACTATAAACAGACGGCGTCTCTTCAGTGATCTGCTCTGTAAACATTATTTAGATAAAATAATACAAAGAGCGTCTAAGATTTTTGGCTTTCAGTAGTAAATTGTAAGCATGTAGCAACATGTTTATGATCATAAAACATGTTCTGTTCATTTGGGGGGAGCTTTTACAAAAAAAATCAATAAATAAATAAAATAAAAATGTACATTTATTTCATGCAGTTACTCAATAATTTGCCTTACAGTTTGGTCATTTAAATTCAGATGGAAACACCAAAATATACCCTGGTGAATAAGAGGTTAAGGCTACGTTCACACAGCAGGTAAAAGTGGCCCAAGTCTGACTTTCTCACCAAATCCGATTTTTTTGTTTGGCTGTTCACATTATCTTTTAAATGTGACCTATAAGTCTGAACAGATCAGCTCCTAAACTGACCACATGCGCAAAAGAACAGAGCTTCACGCTCATCGAGAGGTAAACAGTCATGACGGCCAGCGAACGCCAGTCGCTCCCGCAGCTTCAGTTTCGTCTTCGCCAGCATCACAGGAGCGATTATGAAGTTCCAGTGGTTGACAGCTGGACTCATCACCCACAGTGTGTTTGGGTTTGCCGTAAAAGGGCGCGTTACTCAGCCACGGCCACTTCTTTGGTCCGTGTCCTCCGAGTCTTTTAACTGTTCTTTGACGCTGCAGCCTCGGGCTCCTCCGGCCGCGCTCGGCCGTTTCGTTCGAAACCTCCTCCAGCACGGAGCGGCTCGATGAGTCTCTTCTAATGGTACAGAAACATCAGCCTAAATGTTTTTGAGCCTCAGCAGTGGGAAATTATGACGAATGTCGAGTTGGATTGACGGAAACGTCGCATGAATTCCAATCTGGCTGTTCAGACTGAGTCGCATTGCCGCAGATCGGATACGAATCGGATTTCAGTACCACTTATGAAAGCGTCTCAAATCGGAATTGAAAATGTCAGATTCAGTGTTTATCTGTTCACACTGACACACAGACACACATCTGTGTCACAGATGGAGGAAAGAGATCAGATTTGGGCCACTTTTACCTGCTGTGTAAACGTAGCCTCACGTCAACTGTAAACTGTAAAGTGTAAACTTCCAAAAACTGAAACGTAAACCCAGTGTCTCGAATTCAGTTTACAGTTTAATCGTTTTTACCACTAAAGTGTATCCCTGAAGAGACTTTACACAGCTTACTAAGGTAAATAGAGAATTCAGCGCGTTTCATGGCCGCCAGTACACACTGTGAAGGTTTTGACTCGTCTTCTGACAGCAGGAGAAAGAACACGTACCTTTTAAACATCGGGATGAGTTCACCGAGCGGCTGCCGTCCCCGGTCCTCTCCCAGGTGAGAGGTTCATCGTTTTCATCAGCGTGAGCATCGTAGAGCGACAGACGGACACTCCGAGAGGACCAGTGCACCCCTCAGCCTTCGCTGATTTGGTACCGAGTGTTTTCACGTTGCCAAGTGATGCTAGGATCGTCCTAGCACTGCAGCTGGGCGCCGTATTCAGATCTGGCCAGCTGGCCCGTTGTGTGTGTGAAGAATGCGCCTGTTGTCTTTTCTTACGGTCGGTTTAGACTTGATTTCTATTGAGATTTGATGACTTCTGCGGTTTAATGGGTCTTTAGTGAGGAGATGAACGCTGGAATACAGAGATGGCGATGTGTGTGTGTGCTTTTCAGTCGCTGGTGGCGAGTCGAGCACGAAGAAAAAGAGAAAGAGAGCGGAGAAGGGACGAGTGGAGAGTGAGGAGGACGGAGAGAAGGAGAAAAAGAAGAAAAAGGGCTCCCCTCGGCCCAACTACTTCGTCTCCATACCCATCACCAACCAGAAGGTGCGGCTTTAGCATGAGCTTCGCTCATATATACTGCTCAACAGCAGTGACGACGACAACAACAACAATTCAATGCCATCTTAAATGTACTGATACCTTAAATCAACCGCCATATTAAATTCCTTGCCACCTTCGTTTTACTGATACCATAAATACACTGCCACCTTAAATGTACTTATACCTTAAATCCATTGCATCCATACATTTTATGACGTCTTAAATTTACTGATACCTTAAATTCCCTGCCACCTTAAATTTATTGATATCTTAAATTCACTGGCACCTTAAATTCCCTGCCACCTTAAATTTACTGATACCGTAAGTGGACTGCCATCTTAAATTTACTTATACCTTAAGTGCTCTGCAACAATTAACATTAATAAATAACAAATGACAATAATAATGTTAGCGTTGATATAATATTGGTTTAATATTAAATATTAATAATAATACAGCATAAGTCATTATTAATTACAATTTTAGAGGTAATAAACAATATTTCTTGTTTAAAATTATTATTGGTACCATTATTTTTACTGTTGGTGTTCAAAATATAGTGCAAATAAAATAAATCAAAAAATATTTTTAAAATAACTAATTTTTGTTTAATATATATTTATTATTGTTTATGTTACTAGATTTCATAAAAATATTATTAATTGTAAGTATAATACAGTTTCTTGTATTACTTGCTTAGTTTATTTATTTATTTTTTTTAACTCAGTCAAGAAACTGAAGCTGAGAACAGGTTCACTGCAAAAAATGGTATCTTGTCAAGTGAACTGATCTAATATTTCCCATTTTCAGATGGATGTGCACTTATTATAAGGTTATCTAGCTTTTTTCCAGATTCTTTTTTTGCTTCTTTTAGGTCATTTTATTAAATAAAATTATCTCACTATACTGGGCAGATCAGTTTTGCTAGTTTCAAGCACATTTCTTACAACAAGCATACTTATATGCCAACATAGTGAGATTATTTTACCTAATAAGATTACTTAAACAAGAAGTAGAAATGTCTAGAAATTATCTTGAATTCAGCTTATAATAATCTCAACAGGTGAAATATTAGATTCATTGAATATTTAAGATAATTTTACTTGACAAGATGCCATTTTTTGCAGTGTTGGCTTCTACAACAGAGCAGTGATCCAAAAATATACCTCAAAATCCACCATGAACTGCTCACAGTCCTCTGACTGTAACATCACTTACAAACTGTAGGTAGGTCTTATACATGCTATAGATGAAGCATGGCCCCATTAGTTAGCTAAATTAGCCTCTTAGTTCCAGTGTGAAACTAAACAAGCAAACTTCAGACACCAAACAGTCTTGGCTGATCGACTGCATTCGGGGTAAGAGTGGAGGAAACTGTGAGTTTGACTGTATTCCTTTTATAGAAGGCTGAGTATGTGTGTGTGTATCAGATAAAGCAGGCGGTGGAGGAGCTTCAGGCAGAGATTCTGCAGAAGGAGCCTCGTCTCTCCAGAGCTTTGATTCCTGTGGGCACCCTCCACATCACGCTGCTCGTCACACACCTGGCCACACCTGAGGAGGTGCACACGTACGTACTCACCCCTGCACACACCACTCACACAGCATCATGATCCCCTGAGCAGAAGAATGTTTTTTTGTTTTTTTTATAGGGATGATTTTGATTTTTGTTTTATTTCATTTGTAATTGAACTTATTTCTGAGTCTTCCAGCTGAAAGTATTGAAAGTACTACACATATATATATCACTGCTGCCGGAAGAAAACCTCGTATCTCCAAAATGGTAACTTTACAGGAGAAGGAAAAAACATACTTTACTTTTTTTTTATTTTTTTTTTTTTCAATTTTTACCCGATTTTCTCCCCAATTTAGTCGTCTCCAATTCCACCCGCTAGTTAGGACTCCCCCAATCACACACGACGCTATCAGCGCTAGGAGCGTGAGGCTAACACAGTCTTCCTCCGAGACCTGTGAAACCAGCCACCGCATCTTTTCGAGCTGCCGCTCACGCAACGTCACTGGACAGCCGAACGCGCTCGGAGGAAAGCGCCAACCGCCAGATCTGTTACGTCAGCTAACAGACGCCTGCGCTGACTAGCATCGCGCTGACTGATGGGGGGAGAAGGAGGGGGCCATCCCACCCACCCAGAGAGAGCGAGGCCAGTTGTGCTCTCTCGTACTCCCGGCTACGGATGGCTGTAGCATCACCAGGGATCTCCTGATGACAGGGCCAACGCTTAGACGGTTGCGCCACTCGGGAGCCCACACCTACTTTACTTTTAATGTAAGTCAATGGAACCAGACTTTTTTCCAAGTCATTTTGGGTCGTTTCTTTTGGTCCATTCATCATGAGATTTACACACAATGTAAAGAACAACAGGCTTTTTCAAAATATCCCAAAAACTGAAAAACATAAAATTGGAGATAGGAGGTTTTCTTATGACAGTAGCGATATATGGCAGCATGTTCTAGATTTTATTCAAAATCAAATGCAAATTTGAGAATGCTGATTCAGTTGTGTATTTGCAACGGCATTTCCAATATGAGTGTGCATTTCTAAAAATATTTTATTTGCAATTTTTAAATCACTTAAACCAACACAGCAGAAACAAAATGAAGCGCATTCAGGGTCAAACACAAGGCCCGTGACACAATCCTCCTCGGCCCGCAGAGGTATTTTAATTTTCTATTAATATTAGCCTGTTTTACGATGCACTGCACTACAGTCCCCAGCATGCACTGCTGTCCTGACCATTGAAGAACAGGGTAACGAAGTATGCAGAGAAACAGAAATATATTTTATTAGCTTTGATTTTGATTACATAAATGTAAACAAACTGACCTGTCCTTCCTCGCTTGTGCTTTCTAATTTACAGCATATATAATGTAATGTAAAGTATTATACTAAAGCAGTCAGCCACGAGAGGCCATGTGTTACTGCGATTGTATCACGGGGAAGGGTGTTGTTAGGCACGACGTGAAGCAGAGTAAAACTCCCTACCCTGTGATAAAATCACTGTAACGCATGGCCTCAAGTGGCTTATTGCTTTTATAAAACGGCGGCCAACATGAAATATGATTAAAAACACACTTTTTAAGACATTAATTTAAGTTATTATTAATAATAATCGACATCAACAAGTATTCCGCCATGAAATGTAGTTCCTTTAGAGTACGGCATCATTGCTAAGCAACCATGGACCACTGAATGAACGTTCCGTCGCCCATCGCTGTGTATTGCAGTCATTTCGTGAACTTTTTGTCGTATAACAATGAACATGTGATATCACAGCACTGTTCAGGGCAAAAACTTTCGCTTTATAAGTACTTTTTGGTCACCAAATTACCATCACAGTCTTATTTAGCACCAGTCCAGCGGTGCCCCTCTTCTCACACTGGGGCTGAGTCCCAAACGGCTCCCTGCTCCCTACATAGTGGACTACGTAGGAATTTATGTACTGGATCCTGCAGCACAACAGAGATAACACTGCTAAGAAACAGTCATTTGGGACTCAGACACATCCACACTCGATAAATGATGCACTGTTTGGCTGTAGAGGCTAAAACTTCGAAACTTTCATAGCTAGAACACTATTTAGGGAGTACGGAGCCGTTTGGGATTCAGCCTGGGATTGACGACTTCTGACTGAAACATGAACATTTGAAGTGTGTAAAACATTCAAGTGACATTTTTAGATTTGATACTGCAGTTTTACAGTTAATCACACTGTAAGTACTTTAATTCAGGCCTGTGATATTAATGATGGAGCTGTTTAGGCTGTTGGCTCTTTTAGCCTGTTAGCCAGCTGACCAGCCTGGTTCTAGTTAAGAACATAAGTTGTCAGCCCCTCAGTTTAAACAGAAAACAGGATCTACTTCATCAGTACAGTCGGTGCTCCATGTGAGCAGCATGAGAGTCAAAGGTTATTCCATAAACAGCACAAGGGTTTTTCGTGCCGTGGTGCTTACCACGGCTTCAGACGCGGCTCAGCTCAGCGGATTTTAGGACCGGAACCGTCGGTTTTATAATATGAGTTATGCATAAAGGAGGGGCGGCACGGTGGCGCAGTGGGTAGCGCTGTCGCCTCACAGCAAGAATGGCCTGGGTTCGATTCCCGGCTGGGTGACCAGGGTCATCTCTGTGTGGAGTTTGCCTGTTCTCCCCGTGTCTGCGTGGGTTTCCTCCGGGTACTCTGGTTTCCTCCCACAGTCCAAAACATGCAGTCAGGCTGATTGGACATGCTGAATTGCCCCTAGGTGTGAGTGACTGTGTGAATGTGTGTGTCTGTCTGTCTGCCCTACGATGGACTGGCGACCTGTCCAGGGTGTATCCTGCCTTCCGCCCAATGACAGCTGGGATAGGCTCCAGCACCCCACCGCGACCCAGAAGGATAAGCGGTTTAGATGATGGATGGATGGATGCATAAAGGATTAATACCATGTCATACAGTGGTTATGCAGGATGAATATGTAGAGTTGTGTAACAGGATGGCAGTGGTCTTCAGTTTGGATGGACCCTCGGACTGGAGTGTGTGTGTGCTGTGGTGACTCTGGTGGCTGAGCTGTGTGAGTGTGTGACTCCACTCCTGCTCGGTGCTCCTCCTGAGGGATTAACTGCTGTCTGTGTTTGTACTCAGTGCTGCAGCAGCTCTAGAGGAGATGCAGCCCACTCTGAGGGCCCTGCTGGGGGGGCGGAGCCTCACGCTGCCCTTCCGCGGCATTGGTCACTTCAGACAGGAAGTAGCCTTCATTCAGATCAACCAGGGGGAACATCTCAGCACCCTCAGCAGCATCGCAGGTAAACTTCACCTTTAATACTCATCACTCCGTTCTTCACCTTTAATACTCATCACTCCGTTCTTCACCTTTAATACTCATCACTCCGTTCTTCACCTTTAATACTCATCACTCCGTTCTTCACCTTTAATACTCATCACTCCGTTCTTCACCTTTAATACTCATCACTCCGATCTTCACCTTTAATACTCATCACTCCGTTCTTCACCTTTAACACTCCATCACTCCGTTCTTCACCTTTAATACTTCATCACTCCGTTCTTCACCTTAATACTCATCACTCCGTTCTTCACCTTTAATACTCATCACTCCGATCTTCACCTTTAATACTCATCACTCCATTCTTCACCTTTAATACTCACCACTCCATCCTTAACCTTTAATACTCATCACTCCATTCTTCACCTTTAATACTCATCACTCCATTCTTCACCTTTAATACTCATCACTCCATTCTTCACTGGTCTATCAATCCATTTGTTATCTTTAAATCTCTGTCACTCTCTTTTTTAATACTCATCACTCCATTCTTTACTTTCTTTACTCTTTCACTTCACATAAGCTTCCATTAGCTGTTAGCTGCATTAGCCTGTAGGTCCAGTGTGAAAATAACAGACACCAATCAGGTCTCGGCTGATCGGCTGCTGTCCAGGTGAGAGAGGAGAAACCGTCGCTAATTTGCATTAATTACGTTTTTTAAAATTCACCATTTGTCCCCAAACTTTTGATGGGCAGCGCGTTTATAATTACATCATTTATAACGGGAAAGAGAGACGAGTGGATCCTCTGTTCTACTGTGATCGACTGCTTTTCTCTCTGTTCAGTATCTGTCTACATCCCCTCCTCCCTCCCTCCCTCCCTCCCTCTCTCCCTCCCTCTTCCTCCCTCCCTCTCTCCCTCCCTCCCTCTCTCTCTGTCTCTCTCTCTCTCTCTCTCTCTCTCTCTCTCTCTGTATTGATTATCTCCTTGTCTTACATTAAAAGTGGAGGTGCGGTTTTAGACCTGTCTGTTCTGATCTCTAAATAGCCTCTCTCTCTCTCTCTCTCTCTCTCCCCTCTCTCTCCCTCTCTCCCCCCCAACCTTCTCTCTCATTGCTCTCTCTAATTTCTTGCTGTCTTTCTTTCTCTTGCTGTCTGTGATTTCTCTGCTCCTTGTTAACCATTATCTCTTTTTTTCTCTCTCTCTGTTTCTCTTCTCTTTCTTTCTTCTTTCTTTTTCACTTTCACCAATCCTTGCTGAATTCTCTCTCTCTCTCTGTCTCTTATTTTTCCTCTCCCTGCTGTTTCTCTCTCTCTCTCACCTTCTATCTCTTTGCTTTCTCTCTCTCTCTCTCTCTCTCTCTCTCACCTTCTATCTCTTTGCTTTCTCTCTCTCTCTCTCTCTCTCTCACTCACTCCCTCTCTCCTTGCTCTTTCTCTCTCTTTGCTCTCTCTTTCTTTCTCTCTCTCTCTTTCTTTCTCTCTCTCTCTTTCTGTCCTTCTTTCTCCTTGCTTTCTCTCTCTCTCTCTCTCCCTCTCTCCCCCCTCAGACTCGGTCAGAAGGGCGTTTGAGGAGAAAGGCGTCTCGTCTGGAGATCAGAAAGACTTCAAACCTCACCTGACCTTCATCAAGCTTTCTCGAGCTCCTAAACTGCGGCGTCAGGTGAGACTCGCTGGCTTTTCTGATCACTTCCTGATGACTGTTAAACCTTCTTTACCATCTATGATATAAAATTATGAAGTATGAACTGTGAATTTATTGTTTCTCGTTAAACCAAGTAGAGAAAATGTGTGGAAAGAGCAGATTGTGAACTTTCCGGTCTATATTACGTCGGGGTTCGATATTTTATTATGATTTGAATTTGATAACATTCTTTACATTTTTGACATCAAAACAATAAAAAAGTCAGAAGTGCTATGTAATTACTTATGTGATTATTTTTGGATAAAGATTGTGGTGAACTGACAGTAATAACTCTAGACTAGAAGGTTTAAGCAGTTTATTCCTGTGTTTGGAGTCAGACAGAGTGAGAGGAAGTTACGATAGAATAAAAGCTTGATCACTCTTAAGAGGGAAAGGGGAGATTTTAAACGTATGGATTCCGACTCCCTCATTAGCGTTGTGATATAGAGGGTCGAACTGTTTAGTTTACTAAGTAGCAGAAAAACACATGAATCAGTATTAAATGAATTTAGAGACTCTCTCGTCATCAGACTGTGTCAGTGAGTGTGTTTACATGCACTCAATAATCTGATCATGATTGGATTTCTGCAGTAATCTGATAATTCAAATGGTCATGTAAACATCACACTTTGATTTCTTAGATCAGAGTAACATTAAGAAATCTGATAAAGAGGCTGGATTTTAGCTCAGTAATCAGATTCTCAGTGCATGTGGACTCTTACTCTGATTTCTTTCGGATTTCTCTGTCTGAGCATGTGCGGAAACAGACCGTAAATAAGCGAGCAGCCTCGCCGCGAGACGCAGCAATGCGCTTTTGGAGTGATGATGAAACCGAGTCAGGTAAAGTGACTCAATGTTAAAAAAAAAAGCTGCAGCATGAAGTTTGAGTTTTTCATTATGTTTACGTTGCGTCTTCTTCTGTGAGTTTATTGGCTGGTTGTAAAGCAGAAATCTGATTACAGTCTGACTCATGTTGACCTGGAGTTTCCCCATTATCTGATTACTCAAGTGCATGTAAATGCGTTGATCAGATTACTGACAAAATCTGATTTTCTGCAGTTGTCAGATTATTAAGTGCATGTAAACACAGTGTTCAACATGTAAACAAACCTACATTAGCTGCTTGAATGAGGCTGAACATGGATTCTTGCTGGTAGCCGTAGACATGGGCGTAACGTTGTGGGCGTAACGTTGTGGGCGTAACGTTGTGGGCGTAACGTTTTGGGCGTAACGTTTGTGGGCGTAACGTTGTGGGCGTAACGTTTTGGGCGTAACGTTTTGGGCGTAACGTTGTGGGCGTAACGTTTTGGCCGTAACGTTTTGGGCGTAACGTTGTGGGCGTAACGTTTTGGGCGTAAAGTTTTGGGCGTAAAGTTTTGGGCGTAACGTTGTGGGCGTAACGTTGTGGGCGTAACGTTTTGGGCGTAACGTTGTGGGCGTAAAGTTTTGGCCGTAAAGTTTTGGGCGTAACGTTTTGGGCGTAACGTTGTGTGCGTAAAGTTTTGGCCGTAACGTTTTGGCCGTAACGTTTTGGGCGTAACGTTGTGGCGTAACGTTTTGGGGCGTAAAGTTTTGGGCGTAACGTTGTGGGCGTAAAGTTTTGGGCGTGGCGTTTTGAAAATCGCAGCGGAGGCGGATCGAGAACAAAGTACAAAACTGTGCTACGGGTGGGCGATATGACAGAAATATGATATCGTGATACTTCAAGACATTTTTACAATATGCATCACAATATTTAGTTTTTCTGAGATTTAATACTTTGAAACAGACAGAATAGAACCTGTAATGCGTCATATAGCAGTGCTATAAGTATATGAAATTAACCTACAGCTGCCAAGATTTTTCAGGGTTTTACAAATGATTACTGAGCTAAAATCCAGCCTCTTTATCTGATTTATTAATCGGATTTCTAAACTGGAGTATGGTGTTTACATGACCATTCGAATAATCAGATAACTGCAGAAATCAGATTATGATCAGATTATTGAGTGCATGTAAACGCACTCATTAACGGAGGGAGGCGGGACTCAAAACTGTGTGGAGAGAGAGAGAGAGAGAGAGAGAGAGAGAGAGAGAGTGGGAGGGAGTGAGCAGACGGATCCTCTCAGTGTGAGTCACCTTCATCTGCCAGCACACACACACGAAATACAGCTCAAACACACTCATCTGTTCTTTCTTTCTTTCTTTTTTTCTTTCTTTCTTTCTTTTCTCTCTTACAAACTTTCACTTTTATCCTTATTGGTCTTTAGCCTGCATTATTTTTACAAAATGACACTTTTGTTAGATTACATGAATACTGTGATTGGTCAAAAGGCTTATTTATGCGTCGTGGTGCATCATACAAGACGTCTGAGAAATTCAGTAAGTTCCAATGAAGAAAACAGGAAAAAAGGCTATAAAATACATAAAACAGTGAATAATCTACAAGTAGTGTCGAACATGTGCAGTACATATATACAATATACGTATATGCAGTATATATGCATATATATATAGATCAGGAGGTGAGTTGTGTGTGTATGTTGGAACAAAACCTCGTATCTCCATTTTTGTCATTTTTCAGTTTCTGACATAGTTTGTAAATATCTGTTGTCCTTTACACTGTAAATCTCATGATTAATGGGCCAAAAGAAACGGCCCAAAATGACATGGAAAGAAGTCTGGTTCCACTGACTTACATCAAAAGTAAAGAAGGTTTTTTTTTCCTTCTCCTGTTCTGGAGATACAAGGTTTTCCTCCGACAGCAGCGATACATATATATACAACCTCAATTCCAAAAAAATTGGGACGCTGTGTTAAAAGTAAATAAAAGCAGAATGCATTGATCTGCAAATCTCACAGACCCATATTTTATTTACAGTAGAGCATAGAACACATATCAGATGCTGAAAGTGAGACATTTTACCATTTCATGAAAATATCGACTCATTTAGAGCTTAATGGCAGCAACACATCTGAAAAAAGTTGGGACAGGGCCGTGTCCCACCTTTGTGTAGCATCCCCTCTTCTTTTAACTAAAGTCTGTAAAAAAAAAAGTGTGTGTGTATATATATATATATATATATATATATATATATATATATATACACACACACATATATAGTGTATTTTTCTCAGTAAAAATACACACAACAGAGTAAATATGAATAAACATAATAAACATTTGTCAATAACATCAGATTAAACACTACTAAACATGCAATCCTGTGCAGTGGTTTGTACCACCTGGTCAAATTCCAGTTTTACTTCTATGTTCATTTTCTAAGTGAATATAAGTTATTACATCTTCTGCATACTTTAATGCACAGTGACTGTTTATTTACTGAATTTAACATATTTTGAAAAAAAAAGTAATGGTACATTTTATATGTTATGTGTTTTTTCGCAAATATGTGTTAAGCTTAGCAAATATATAGAAATTGTGCACAAAAATAGCAGCAAGTTGTCTTTAAGCTGGTCTCTGTAGAGGATGTGTTCCATTATTTTCACTTAGAAAATAAACTAAGCCTGTCATTTGGGTGGGGGGTGTTCAAACTTCTGCACATCACTGTATATCAGTAAACAATACTTCTTCTGAAGTTTGGGGTCGTGGGGGGCGGGGCGGGGGGGCTGTTTTTGTGAGTTATTTTGAGCTGGTCAGATTCGCAGTACGTGCGGGTTTCGACCCTCTGACTGTTTGACGTGTTTGTGTTGAGTCTTCATATTCAGGATGGGAGCGACACACTCCTTAATCACACACACACACTTCCTGCCGAGGTTATCAGCCTCAACAGACGGGCCCCCCCAACCCCCGACTGTACAATATGGTCCTGGAGCGTCTGTGTGTCTGTCTGAGATCTGTCGTCTCATTTCTGTGTGTATTTCTCAGGGAATTAAGAAGCTGGACGCAGCTCTGTACGCCCCGTTCGAGCGGAGGGAGTTCGGTGAGGAGAGCGCGTGCACGCTGGACCTGTGCTCCATGTTGAAGAAGAAGTCGGCCGATGGATATTACCATCGCGAGAAGACGGTCACCTTCAGTGAGTACAAACTGTTTCGCTCAGTGTTTCGGCTTCACGTGGACAGAAGTGACCCCGGTGTTTGAGGATAGAGGTTTTTGTACGAATCTAATTGGGGTGTATTTAAATCACAGTGCTTTGATCTGAAAGTGACAATTCAGTTTGATTTTGGAACTTTAGAATAGATTTTATAATAGGTTTTATAATCAATTTATGATCAATTATAATATTTTTCAATAAAATATGTACAAATTTCTTGAGCAAAGTAATGCAGTAAGTGAACACATCCTCTACAGAGACACACTTCTGCGTACTTTAATACACAATTACTGTTTATTTACTGAATTTATCATATTGGGGGGAAAAAAAGACACAAAATGTGGCCTGTGAAAAAGTTATGGCACTCACTAAGCTGTTTATTCCCAGTAAAAAGCTTAGCGAGTTGTTTTTATCATCTATATTTGATTATTGTGTAAACAGTTCCACTAGTTACATTTATATATTCATATACTGTGTATTTTTTAAATACTTTTGTGAATTATAGTGACATATGATATATGATTCACTGAGTTGTTGCCTAAAGAATCATAATCAGATCAAATCACTGTCAGATTTATATGTCTAGTATTTAAAGTACCATTCAAAAGTTTGGAATCAACATCTTTCAGTGATATAAAACAAATCTGGTGGGAGATAAGCCTATAAAATGAGTCTAATGTGATGCTAGTTATAGTGAAGACACTGTGACTTCATAGGTTTCAGTTAATTAGTATGACACTACTCTCCTGTCCTGTTGTGGCTCCACAGCAGAATCAGATCTGTAGATAAAAATAAAATAATCCTCCTTTACAGTAAAATAAAGCTCTGCTGATCGTTCAACACAGTTTAACAATAAATGGTCTTAAACTCTGGAGTTAATGTAGAACTGCTGATTCACCCTTTAACCCTGAAGATCAGCGCAGACTGCTGGTCACCATAGCAACACAGACAACAGTCTCGCCTAGCTAGTAGCTAACGAAACGGCAAAGAGAGAGATTTAAGACGAACATCGATAATTTGGAGATGAATGGACTGATTAGTGTTTATAATCACTCCAGCTGGTTTCCTGATACGATTAATCTGCAACCAGAAACTGAAAAACACTGAAAAGTCGTGAAGTTGAAGTTTCTCATTCGCCAGCTTCTCGTTCGAATTTTCCAGTTCCACCTTAAATGGTGCCGCAGTTATGTTCTGGCACCTCAGGCACCATTTAAGGTGGAACGGGACGATTTGAACAAGAAGCTGGAGAATAAGAAGCGACTTCAGCCTCGTAAAAAGTCGAGACATTTTACAAGAAACTGTTCTACTTGAAGTTCTAGAATGAAGGACAGAACTGTTCTAATGAAGCCCATATCCAGAATGAAGTTAGAAGAAAATTAAAATCCAGAATGATTCATATTTCCAAAGTGGTGATCAGATCTTGACGCGGATGTTAGTTACAGTATATTATTTAATAACGTTGCTTTGTTCCCAAAGTACTTTTAACTCCTCCGAGCATGACCGTCTTTTCCAGTGAACCGGTTCTTCTCAGAATGTGTCCAAAATAAGAGCTTTAGTTTGGTTCTCTGGGCTTCGAGTGAGAAGTGGGGCTTGGTTTGGTCTAGGATCCATTCGTTTGCTTTCTTTGATGATAAAATACACTGCACTTATAAAAAAGATGGTTCTTCAAGGGCTCTTTAGTAAGGAAAATGGTTCTATGTAGAACCGTGAGCACTCAAAAAACCCTTTGCATGATTAAAGGGATAATGAAAGGGAGAGAAGAGAATGTAGAACCTTTTTTGAAAATTGTTCTGTATGTCACCCAAATGGGTTTGTCTATTGTTACAGTGTCAAGCTTGTAAGATTTGAAGAACCCTCTTGGGTGCTATATAGAACCCTTTTCAAAAAAGGTTCTTTATAGAACTGCTTATAGCACATTCGTTCGCATTCTCCATCAATCTGAGGAACCCTTTCGTGATGCAAAGATCCCTTTAATCATGCAAGGAGTTCTTTGAGTGTTCATGGTTCTACATGGAACCATTTCCCTTACTAAAGAACTCTTGAAGAACCCTCTTTTTTAAGAGTGTATATAATCTGCAATGTATAAGCTGTTGTTGAATAAAATAACGAAGTTACTATGACGGGTGATTCCAAACTTTTGACCGGTATGTGTGTCTGTAGACCTGCAGACTCTGCTTCAGTGCGGTGGTTCGGTTTTGCAGTTCATTTTCAAAGCAGGTTGGTTTCCTCGTGTCCTCCATCGTCTCTGTTGCAGGAGAACAACTGATATTGTGCCACAGATCCTCGCAGAACGAAGAGCGATGTGAGTTTTGGTGAAGACGAGTTTGCAGTTGTTTTAGTTTGTAAATGTTTTGCAACAGCAGAAGAAAAAGGGTCGTTACAGTCAGAGTCACCGTCAGCGTCTGATTCTGAATAGCAGATACTGACAGTGCTGAATAAAACACTCAGCGTTTGGACGGCTTACTTGTTCAGTGATTCCCTGCTGAAAGCTGTACTTCACTTCATTGCTTTTGTGGTTTTTATTGTAGAGTTTTTCTGTAATGAGGTGGAAATGATGTGATAACTGGAAGACCAGTTGGCCGAAACATGTAAAACAGGCAGATTCATAAAAACGGACAAAAGAGAACGCAGAGCTAGAAACACTGAGTGCGTTTACATGAACTCAGTAATCCGATCATAGTCAGATTTCTGCAGTTAACCGATTATTCAAATGGTCATGTAAACACTATAGTCCAATCTAGATATCTAATTAAGAAATCTGATAAAGAGGCTGGAATTGATCAGATTTCTCAGTGCATGTGAACTCTTACTCTGATTTCTTTCGGGTTTCTCAGTCTGAGCGTGTGCGAAAACAGACGGCAGTGAGCAGCGTTTAACACAGCACCCGCGAGACGCAGCAAAACACGTTTGGAGCGACGCTGAAACCGACTACATTCTCGACGAAATGAAGAATGTAAATATTCTTCATCTTCTAGATGATGTTTGTTCATATTTTCAGGTAAAGTGGCGCAATGTTTTAAAAAAAAAGCCGCGGCGTGAAGTTTATTGAGTTTATTGGCTGGTTGTTAAGCAGAAATCTGATTACTGTCTGACTAATATAGATCCGGAGTTTCCACATTATCTGATTACCCATTTTTGAATTACTGATTTTCTGCAGTTATCGGATTAAGTGTATGTAAACCCACTCAGTGACTAGAAACTTGTACTAGAAACCAAACGAACACGAGTATTGAAACACACCGCTGCAGCAAAGACGAACAAAATTACATCAGACAAAACTTCACAAAGTGCAAAGGGAGACAAAGAGCTACGTATACACAGACACCAACAAGACACAGCTGGAGACAATGATGACAGGGCGGAGCTACACGTCACTCACAGGTGAGCATGATGACTCGAGGGAGAGCATCCTTGGCGCGCTCAAAGCCCTGAGAGCATTGATACACAAAGACTGCGCCACCTAGCAGTTACACTGGCGTGTAAAACCCCAGCAACACCGTCTGATACACCTTTAGCAGCACCACACATGTCTAATGAAAATCGATCCTCAGGTCAGAAACTGACCGGTGATGAATGGGATAGAGAGGAGCTGATCAACTGTGCAGCAACAGAGGGGCTACAATTTGTAATTTTACACCTGTAAGATAGGTGTTTCTAATAAAGTGGCCAGTGAGTGGAAGTACAAGGAAGGTGTTTCTAATAAAGTGGCCATTATTGAAAGTACAAGGTGAGGTGTTTCTAATAAAGTGGCCAGTTAGTGGAAGTACAAGGTGAGTGTTTCTAATAAAGTGGCCATTATTGAAAGTACAAGGTGAGTGTTTCTAATAAAGTGGCCAGTTAGTGGAAGCACAAGTTAGGTGTTTCTAATAAAGTGGCCAGTGATTGAAAGCACAAGGTAGGTGTTTCTAATAAAGTGGCCAGTGAGTGGAAGGACAAGGTAGGTGTTTCTAATAAAGTGGCCATTATTGAAAGTACAAAGTGGGTGTTTCTAATAAAGTAGCCAGTGAGTGGAAGGACAAGGTAGGTGTTTCTAATAAAGTGGCCATTATTGAAAGTACAAGGTGGGTGTTTCTAATAGAGTGGCCAGTGAGTGGAAGTACAAGGTGGGTGTTTCTATTAAAGTGGCCAGTGAGTGGAGACACAATGCAGGTGTTTCTAATATAGCGGCCAGTTAGTGCAAGTGTAGTGAAAGTTTATGGCTTGTCAACAACCAATACTGCTCTCTACTGGCTGTCTTAAGTATTGCACCAAATGCTTCTTCTAGAAGAGCTTACGAAGATGGAGAGCACAAAATGTGTAGCAGTTCTCTGTTCTGCTCACTGCTGCCCTCTTGTGGTGGTTCTAGTGTGGAGTTTGTGTTCCCACAGCATAATTAATTGCCATTGGATCCAGATATAAACAAAGATGGGTGAATAATTGGAGAAGATAAGAAAAGTTTATGCAAATATCTTTGACATTTTAAACAAAATATTGACTAATAATGAATAATAAAGAAAATTAGCAGTCATAATCTTAGGTATCGAATAAGGAATAGGTGCTATTGCAGTAATATTAGGATTGATTATGTTCTTTATTCTTATAAGTTAAACCTGGAATAATGATTAGTGCCAAAATCTATCTGACCAGCAGCATATTTAGTTATTAGGGATGCCAGGAATTTACAGATCTTTCCATTTCCGTTGCAGAGACACATTACAGGATAATATTTTCTTCTGCTTTAGGAACAGCAAGATCAATATTACATCATATCTGGAGGAGAGATGATATACAGGGATGTAATCGTGCTCATATTACTAAGGATCAGGTTTATTTAATCAATATTGACTCATGGTTACTGATATGATGCTGATATTATTTCTCTCGTCTGTCTGCCTCCAATTTCTCATATTAAACACACTCAGTGTGGACATTACAGCACAAGTGACCCTTACTTTCTCATGCTTTTTTGTACTGATACACTATATAGACAAAAGTATTGGGAC